GAGTGGTACCGTCTGTATTCTGTGCAGTAAGCTCAAGTTGACTGGCACATGGCAAGTGTAATGGGTTCACGGTGTCCCTTTCAACCCAACATTATTATTTGGGAAGAAAAGGCCGCCAATTCAACACCAATCTCTGATTGTATTGAGGCTTGTGTGTGGAGAGCTGTGCGACAGAAGCACCGAAGACAATCAGAGGTCCAGAAGAATACGCCGTCAAAAATACAAACGGAACTGGCCACATTGGTGTTGTGCTGGACACCGATAGGGCTGGGGTTGTGTCGAGCATATTGTGATTGAGTTTCAGTTTCAGATTTTTTTAAAGTAAAAATTTTAAGGCACTTTTAACACAATACGGTCATGTAAGTGCCGAAGATTAGAGGTGTTACTGTTACAAGAGAGTAACAACCATAAAAAAGGGAGAGAGATAACGACGTTAAATGTTGGATAGGAAAGAAGAAGCAAACCACACCAGAGTACCCTCCAACCACCCAGTTTCAGTTTGAGTAAAGAGAAAAGAAATAGGACCTATGTGGCGCCCTCGAGCCACCCAGCATTTTCCGTTTTGATCAGAAAATGAATGTTATAGTAGATCTAGGGCTTCCCATTCCGAGCCGGTCGTGGAATATAAATGGGCCAGTGCCACGCCTACAGAGGACGCAACTCATCTTCATTGTAAAAGGCTCGCTACAACTTCGTTGATGAAAGGATTGTGACTTTCATTTGCATAATATTTACAATGTCTGCCGTGTTGGTTCTATTTGGTTTTTTATGCTTTTTTTTTTGTTGCTGTTTTTTGTTCTTGTTTTTTTTTTTTTTTTTTTTTTTTTTTAAATAGTAGAGGGTTTTGCGGCGCTCGCAACTGCATAAGGTCATATGAGCGCCAAGGAGTGGGTGTCAACAGAGAAGTCTTTACAGGGAATCCGACTTAGACTGCTCACCTCTCTAGCTTCAACAGCACAAGGTCTGCTTTGACTATCAAGGCACCCCGGAAATAGCAGGTCACAAGAGAGTGACAAACATACAAAAGAAGTAGAAAAAAATGACAATAGTAAGGACCAGGAAAGAAAAAGCAGCAGTTCCCTGTTGTAGATCAGGCACAGTTATGAGCGTGACATGAGTCAGCCCATTTACAATTCTACTATGTCACTATGATTGAAAGAGAAAGGTCCCCCCTTTTGGAATGGCCTAAAGACACTTCAGTCAGTGGCACCGCCCCGGGAGGTTGTTGTTTTTTCTTTCGTTTGCATGTGTTTGGGTTTTTTCACGCTTGTGTGTGTGTGTGTGTGTGTGTGTGTATGTGTGTGTGTGTGTGTGTGTGTGTGTGTGTGTGTGTGGGTGTGTATGGGTGGGTGGGTGGGTGGGTGTGCAAAGAGTAGAGAAACACATTGACACAACAATGGGAATCAAGAGCAAGAAAAAAAAAACGAGAAACAGATGGAACGAAAAGAAATAGCAGGATCTACTATCAGGCAACACCAGTGTCCTCGGAATCTCTGCAAGTGCAAGTCCACATTATACGTATCTTTTAGACTACTCTGCCGATCGAGCACGCAGAATCCACATGAACACCCTTCCCTCTACCTCAAACATAAAGATATGGGACCTGCGTTTAGTACAAACAAGTTTTTAGTTTAGTTTTAGTAGAGGTTTTACGGCGCTCGCAACTGCATAAGATCATATGAGCGCCAGAAGATTAGAGGTGTTTCAAGAGATTAACAAACAGAAAAGAGAAGAAGGCGAGATAAGGACGATAGATGTTTGATAGGAAAGAAGAAGCAAACCACACCAGAGCACCCGCCAACCACCCACACAAACAAATAAACAAGACGCAACAGGACACATTCCGACCCTCTCTTATCTGCCTCACAAAGATTCCAATATTACGATCAGAAGATGGTGCAATGCTAATTGTTGAGTAAACCACTTCCCGGGAAGCCGAGTATGTTTCTCTGTGTTCTTTGTTTTGTTTGTTTGTTTGAATAAAGAGAAGCACATCGACACAATAATGGTCATTTAGCGCTGGAAAAAGGTCAAACAGACAGACAGAAACGACAAAAGGAAAGTAAAAAAGTAAGACCTACCAGAGGCGCCCTTCAACCTCCTGCTCTGAGTGTCCTAAGGTCTGCTGGGTCAATAAATTAATAATTATAATAATTAATATAATGTTTATAGAGCATGCTTGATAAGTGCTATTCTTATCATCATTATTACTGCCTTATGTACTATGCTTAACATGAGTTCATCTCATACTGAAAAATACAGCATCAAACTACAGGACAGTATATGTACTTGCACATTCTGTTCAAGTTGATTAGTCAGACAGACAACAGACAGACAAATCGGAAACTAAGCAGGTGGATACAATTGACAGCCAGTCAGTTTGTTTGTTTGTTGTTTGTTTGTTGTTGGTTTGTTGTTTGTTTGTTGTTTGTTTGAGTAAAGAGAAGCACATCAACACAATAATAGTCATTCAGTGCTGAGAAAAAGTAAGACAGACAGACAGAAACAACAGAGAAAGTAAAGAAGTATGACCAATGAGATGGACAAGTACGAGAGAGGGGGAGAGAGAGTGAGAGAGAGAGAGAGA